CCAGAAGGCACCGATGCAGAAGAAGAGGAACCAGAGGCCGCCGAGGAAGAAGAGTTCGGCTACGACGATGACGAAGGCCGAGCTTCATGGTTTTCTTCCGGGGCATCGAGAACTTCACGAACCTCCCGGACCACGACAGGAGGCAAGGGCAGTACAAAGACAAAGCCCCCGAGGGGCAAGGATCTCTTGGAGAGATTGATGGAGAAGGGGCTGATGCCTTTGTCGGCCCTGGACGTGATCCGTGGCTGGATGATACTGGAGATGAGTACCTCGACGGAGGAGGAGAGAAGGATCGTGAAGGCGGCCACCAGAAACCGGCTGGGCTACCAAGAGGTGAAGCAGGCCCTCCTGGCGATGTACGAGGACCGTGGCAAAGGCGGAGGGCGACCCTTTGCGGCTGGAAAGTCGGCCATGTGGGGAGAGATGGAGACAGAGGCCGATGCGGTCTATGCCGGAGCCGGTATGCCGGCCCACATGTACTACACCGACGAGCACTCCAGCCAGGGTTGGTGGCCCAACGAGTACGACTGGGGCTACTACGGAGAGGAGCAGCCCTGGGAGGAAGAGGAGCCGGAGTGGACCGCCGACACCCCGGACGAGCCCAATGACGAAGTCTACGCGCAACTCCGAGAGGAACAACAGGACATCGAGCAGCAGCGGCGTGACCTGGAAGCCATGATGGCCGAAAACGACCGGAACCTTGCCGAGGCCAGGAAGGCCGTGGCAAACGCAGCCCGAGATCGTGGATGGCATGGAAATGTTCAACAACGGCAGCAGAGGCCTACATCCACATACATGACGAAGGGCAAGGGCAAGAATGGCAAGGGCAAGGCCGGGAAGTCGGCCAAGATGGCGGAGGAGGCACACTGGATGGGTGCCAAGAAGGGCTTCAAGGGCCCGCCGTTCAAGAGCAAGGGCAAAGGACAGGGCAAAGGAAGTTTGCCTTGGGGCCAGAGTTTCTTCACCGAGGGCCCCACGCTGATCGAGGACGCCGAGTTCTTCACCACCACTTCCGCCGACGACAACCCGAACGGGCCCAAGGACAACGACGGCAACCAGCTGAAGGCAACTGAGGGCTTGGTAGACACAGGCGCCACGGCAACAGCCGGTGGCCAGACAGCTGTGGAAAGGCTCTGCGCAGCAGTCGCGGCAGCCAGACCGGAGTTGAAGGTGACGATCCACGAGTCCGTGCGCCCGTATTTCAGGTATGGTAGCGGGAAGTGGGGAAGGGCTTTGTACAAGGTAAGTCTGTCCTGGAAGAACAACGTCGTCAACCTGTTTGCCCTGCCGAGTGAAGGGGTTCCTGTTTTGGTTGGTATGAGAGAGCTGAAGGCGATGAA